TTTCAAGATAATCAGCGGGAAACATTCTGACATTTAATGTATATATATGATACATTTTACTTTATGAGAAATTGAGAAAGGGAGTAAAATTAAAACTGAAATAGCAAAGGATTTTCAATTTCCAAAAAGTACGCTTTCGGATATTGTGTCAAAAATAGAAATAAACGACTAATTTTTCTAAATCAAATGCTCTTCAAAATGGCGGACGTTGGTAAACAAACAGTTCGTTATATGTAAATCTGTTCGCTATAAAAACTCCTGTTACAAGGAACTAATTCGCTATATGCTTACATGGAACTCTGGATATAAGGAACCGATTTTGAATGTCCAGATGAGTTCGTTATAAGCGGAGTTTACTGTACACATAATCGTTGGTTTATGTGTTGACCGCATTTTACCCGCAGTGATTCATGCGTTCCCGTACAATAAGTCATTTAAGTTGTTTTGCTCGCGGTCTTCGTGCGGCAAATATCCATATCCGGTGTCAGTATCGGACTCCACAGAATTGTTCACAAACTGTCACAACTCAATATAATTGTCTTGAAACAAGTATGAGAAAATGCCAAGGCTAATTATGAAGGAACAAAACCAAGCTATTGGGATGCTAAATGCTAGCATGCCAGCAAAGGCTGTATCCCGTCACATTTTTGTACTTGAAAGACTATCAAGCTGTTACGGAGACGATTTCTGCATGAAACGGTGCCGACCGTCCTCGAAGAGGTAGGTCACGTATGACAACTGCTGCCGATGATCGCTAAATTGTCTTGCACACCTATGTAACATGCGTCTTATTGCAGCAAAGGGCGACAATATGGTATTCATCCGCAGACAATCCGAAATCAGTTGAGACAGAACAGTCAGCCTATTTGTGAGTACCGACCGTATTTTTGTCAAATTCTCACCCGAGGTCATCGAACTGCAAGCCTGAGTTAGTGCTGTCTTCACCTGCGCTTCGAGCGTGCTGATTGGGATTTGATTTTGTTTTCAGGCGAAAGTCGGTTTAACCTTAGCCATTCTAATGAGGAGAGCGTTTTGCTGAATATGAGTGCGTCATTGAGCGGGACCGTTTCGTAGGTGGTTCAGTCTTAGTGTGGGGTGGGATATTGGGAGGTAACAAGACTCGCTTAATCGTTATTAATGGAAACATTAATGCTCAGACTTACATGAATAATTTCTTGCTTTAGTATGCTCTTCATTGCATTTTAAGTTGTATGTTCTAAATGTCACCTTGTGTACCTTGGCGTCCGTGCTGTGCCTTGTGCCCTGTCCTATTTTTGTTTGGGATCCACCTGGGCTCCTTGCCACTGGTTCTTATTGATGGATCATGTGGGGGTTGCGTTCATTGAACGCCGCCTTTCCTTTTTTATGTACGATAATGCCCGTCCACATACAGATGGAATAACTAGGCAATAATGCCAATGTCTTTGATTGGCCTGCAAAAAGTCCCGACCTTAATCCCATTAAATGCAATTGGGACAAGTTAAGGCGTCGTGTTCTAATAAATCATGCATTACACACTGTTAATGAGTTTTTAACGTCCTCACAAGCTGAGTGGGCCAATATACCTGCGCTGTTTATACAGCGTTACGTCAACAGCATGCGCCGCCGTATGACAACATGTATTGCAAGAAATGGTATGCGGATGCAATACTGGCACATTTCATTGAATCTTTTTTTTTAATAAAAGAATTAACAGCAGCAACTTCATAGCTCGTCAAAATGATTCTTTATCACAGATAACAGCGCAATTTTAAATAGTCGGTTTGTGATCTATTGCAAAGATTCGGGGTCATCTGATATCAGTTTTTACATAATCACCCCGATTCTCCTTTAACCTAGGTAATAGAAAAAATATTCTAGTATTAAATATATGTCTGCCGCATTATCTGCATATGCATTGTTTGTTTTGAAGATTTCGCCCTGTCGTTCCCTCTTTCTTATCTTCTCGCATCAAACAATTTTCATTTTTATTGCACAAATTTTTGTTGAAACTGTCATAAATGCTTTTTTAAATTGGTCTTCAAATTTTTAAAAATATTTTCTTTTGTTTCATTAATTGATGTCGGAATCTTCTTTCATCCGCTCATTTACCTCGGAGGAAAATATTGTCTAGAATGAAGATTCAAAGATCGACCTGCAATTACTGGCATGAAGTGAAAGATGTATTGTCATCATCACTGTGACTGCACTAACTATCGTCTTTAGACTATAGGTGCAAAATATTCTTTCTAACTGATATGTCTGACATAACGTCTTCATTTGTATCTATGTATGTATTTGTTGAACTTTTTGCTGCCATTCCGTCCACCTTCAGTCCGCCTTACTCTTTTTCAAAGATAATCTCGAAAAACAGTAAAGAATTTGATTTTAAAAAGTGATAGAGATTAATGAAATAAAATGCTTGCAGATTACAAGAACTAATACACAACCTTGTTTTATTTTAGCTCACCTGCGCACAACGTGCTAAACGAGAGCTATTGCCATGCCCATCAAGACTACCTTTTTGGAATAGATCATTGTCCGTTGGGACTTTTTTTAAGTTTGTACGACTCAGTTGAGTATATGTTAATTAGACTACTAGTATTTGAAACTTTCTTCCCAGATTATCTTAGATATTATCATATTTTGATATCTTGGTTGGGAAACCGGGAACGACTATCGTTATATCTCTACACTGCTTTACATTTTACTCGGGGTTCTGAGCCTGTTTAATGGTGAGACATTGAGTTACGCTCTTGTCGGTATCCAAAACGTTAAACTGATCATGACTCACGAGGATGGTATCAATGACTGACATGTTACATGTATTCAGATTAAAGATAACAAGGGAAGATCTCGTGTCTTTTTTTTGAATTTGATATGCTTGATGGTTATAGTCACACTGACACTGTATAAGTCACATGGCTTCACTCCATCTGTAATAATGAAAGGATACCTCAGGCACTACTTTATGCAATATTTCAGGCACAACAGGGCACCTTAGAAGAACCACTAACCCTTTGTATTTTAACTTGCTAGCTTTCACATATGACATTATCAAATGTCTCCGATAGAATTCGAAAACTAAACGAGGAATGGCAGATGATTTGAAGTCACTTCACGTAAACCATTCGAGTGACGCTGGGCAGAGTGGTTAACGCGCCTGACTAGAAATCTAAGGATTGCTGACCATGTGGGTTTAAAACTCGCCGAGGACAAACCGATTTTGCCGTGAGCAAGAAATTTACTCGTTCAGAAATGAACGGTTTGTACCAGGAATTGATTCAAGAGTGATTCATTATGTTTAAAGCTTTCAACGTACAGTACAAGTGATTTTTTCTGCGGTGACTCTTTCTGCGTATTCTGCTGGCACATTCAGCACTGCAGAAATAAAACCGCAGAGTATTTCTCTATGTTTTGTTAACCTGTTACGATATATGACCTACATTATGACCTGTTTCGTCTAAAGTAATAACGACTAAAGGGTTATAACGGTTAGCGGATAATCAAGTTGTACACAATTGCCGTCGGATAAGTATGTAATCTTTGTTTGTAAGTTAATAATGCCAATTTATGAATAAGGATATTTAAACATCATTTAGAGTAATTGCCGGTACGCTAAAAGGTTTGTTTACCATTAAATCAATCAAACCATTTTAACCCTTTTACTGCTAAATAGTCGTATACTTTGTCGTCTGATTAACGATAAACTTTTATTATATTAAACAATATAATTGCTTGTATTACTCAACAGTTTTGTGTGAACGACGATTAACAAATGCAAATATGTAGAGTTATGACTTAGATTTTGACAAGGCAAGTCGGTCGCAGAATTTAAATCACGTTTTGTCCAAAGTATGTGCCGCAGAAAAAAAGTCCGCGAAATAAAAACATGCATAAATTTGGGAAAACAGCAGAATTTGGAGCTCTCAGAAAAACACTTGCACTGAAATAAATTCTAATAAACGAAACCAGCGGGAGTCTTCGGCCGAGTGGTTAAAGTCGTTGACTTCAAATCACTTGTCCCTCACCGACGTGGGCTCAAATACCGACAGGGACATTGAATTGTTTCATGTGAGGAAGTTTTTCAGCTAGCTTATGAAACGTCGGTGTATCTATTCAGGTGCCCGTTCATTCCACAAATAATGCATGTAAGGGTATCTTAGGTCTTCCACCACTAGTAAAGCTTGAAATTTACATAAGACTTAAACTGTGTTGGAGTGACTTTCAACCCGACAAAATGCATAAATCAAACAACTCAGATATTAAGGTCAATACTTTGCGAAGTTAGATTTAATACCGGAAGTGCAAAGTGTTCTCGGTAGAGGTAACCATACAGGCGACAGTCAGATATATTTCCCAGCTTATACACACCCTTACTTTTACCTTATTTCTACCAATTTATTAACCGGAGGTGCCATTTTGAAATTTTGGGATTTGACTTCATGTCATTCTTTATTTCACTCTATTTCATCAAAATCTTAGTGAATTTCTAAGGGGCTCAATAATAATTAAAACATCTTGGTCTTATGGAGGAACATCGGTACTTTTAAGATCTCCGGTCGTGCCTAAACTAATGCGATCTTCGGTGCTAGGGGGCGTGAGGGATGTTGCACTTATTCATTATCCCTCATGTACAAACTCAATCAAACCGAGTCTGCAATTCTTATGTTATTTTGTTGTGATTGATGCTTCCGAGGGATCACTTTGTTTCCGGAATTTTTTAATTCTTCCACCAGTAAAAATTGAAATCGTCATGTGACCTCTTCTGTGTGACTTAAAACGCAACCAACCAAACCTCTTTTTGTGTTGATATTCTCACATTCTCCATTGCAATGCTTAGACCATTAAGGTTTATATTTTATATAAGCCAATTTTATTAATTATTTGAGAATTTGATAAAGGGTTTCACTATTTGAGTTGTTGATTAAGTGTGTCGGTGGTAAAAATACATTGTTTTTATTAACAAGCAATATTATTTAACTATTATTAACGAAAAGCCATCTTTTATATATTTTCAGTTGAAAGCGGATAGATTAAATAAAAAAGTGTAATCTCTGTTATACTTTTAACGTATGATTATGGAGCAAACAGATGCTGTGGAAAATAAGATTGAACAAGAACCAACTGATACTGATCTTAAAGATATCTGCGATGCATGTTTCATTGAAGATGAAAAAATACCAGCAGAATATGTGTGCCAGGAATGCGAGGAAAGATTATGCAACTCGTGTTTTGATGATCACAAAAAAAGAAATGCTACCAAGGCACACCGGCCCGTTGATTTAATGCAAGCACAAGCAAAATTTCTAAAGAAATGTGAACCATGTGAGAACGGAGGTAGATCAAACATAGCTCTTAATATTTGTGAAACATGCCAAGAATACCTATGTGTTGATTGCACAACAACGCATAAAGTAAGGAAAGCCACAAAATCACATGAACCAATTCCTGTATCGGCTGAAGTAGAAAGGACATCTCATTCAGACGAGGCAAAGAAACGCTGCGAGCCATGTGAGTCATATGGCAAAGATAATGAAGCTACAAAATATTGCACTGGTTGCGACGAATTGCTTTGCGATTTATGTACCGAAACTCACAAAATGGGTAAACTTACTAAGAATCACGTTCCTATTAATGTTTCAGATAATCCTGAATTAAATAGAGAAGAAGGAAAAGAACTATGTGAACCTTGTCAAATGGTGAATACATATTCACACGCATCGAAATACTGCGACGAATGTAATGAATATTTATGTGAATCATGTGTACTAGTTCATGGCCTCCAAAAAGCTACAAAATTGCATGTTCCAAAATGCATCATAGAAAGCACAACCCAGAACTGTGATATTTGTCTACAGTCAAACAATCTTGAGCAGGCAATACTTTACTGTGAATTATGCAGCGAGGCACTCTGCAAGTCTTGCTCTGACCGTCATAGAAAACAGAAAGCAACCAAGACGCACGATCTAGGCGAGCTGAAAAAAATACCTGAAATATTTCCTTGTGATCCGTGCTCTTGTTTAGGAGTTTCGAAAAAAGCAACAGAATTTTGCAAAGAATGTAACGAGTTTTTATGTCCCTCTTGCTGTAAGAGGCATCGTATCCAGAAAGCTACCAAAGAACACGAATTGATTTTTCCAAATGCAGAGGTGTTTAAAAAAGAGAAACATCCATGCTCGTTGTGCAAAGAAATAGGTATGAGAAAGATGCCGACAACATATGTACCGTTTGCGATGAAACATTATGTTTGGATTGTAGCGTTGTACATGGCAAGCAAAATGCCACAAGACACCACGAGCTTTTACAAATCAAATATAAATATGTTTCTGAACATCAAATCAAATGCTCCCAGTGTGAAATGGATAATAAATCAGCTGCTGCAGAACGATATTGCAACCAATGCGAGGAATACTATTGCTGTAACTGCTGCGAGATGCACAAACGTAATGCTGCTTCGAGACATCACCTTCTTTGTGATATTAATTCCAAAGGTGATGAACAAGACGTAAGTTGTGATTCATGCAGAGTAGCAGACGATAAACAACGACCTGCCGAAATTTACTGTTGTGATTGCGAGGAGTATTTATGTATAACGTGTCACAAACACCATATAGCTGCGACGGTTTCCAAAACACATAATCTGATTACGACAGTTCAAGCACAATTGAAGAAAAGAGATACAATTTTACCTGTAACTAAATTTGAGGTATTTATATTTTGTTAATCCTAATTGTCTGTAAAATTGTATTTGCTGTTGTGTGCCATAGAATGCACATAATGTGTTTGAATAAAATCAATTCATTATATACCTATAAATCCTCTCCCTAAAATACACGCACATCATGAAGCGCTAATACGATATAACGGAAAGAAAAATCCGTATTATGTCAGTGAAAAATACGGTATAACATATGGAAGAGCTGCACTATTATTTTCAGAATGAGAAACCAATACTGCTTAGGACGTGGCCTCTTGCAAAAATGATGTATTCAACCGCCATTCATTAATATTATTTCTTGACAGTCATATTGCTATTTTTGAAATAACCAATAGAAGTTTAGTAAAATTGAATGTGAAGGTCTCTTTGTCGTATTATTTATAGGTATATAATATTCTAAAAACAATTTCTGTAGTAGCTTTCTGTTAATTTCCATTTTGATATTCAATGTAAGTAATGAAACGGTGAATGGTATGATATACTGTAGTTATTGTCATGACATACCTTAAATTGCAGAAACCGCCGGGAAAGCCATTTGCGTCTGATATTCGTGCAGATTCTCTTCAACTTTCATGGGATGCTCCGAGTGCATGTGGAACAAACAATTACTATCAGATAAGTTATAAAGACATCGATAATGGGGGTACATGGAAATTTCATCCAGAACAGAACTTAAAAAGTACCGCAGTTTTAACAGAACTGAAAGCCAATACAAAGTATATATTCCGTGTAAGAGTCGTTCATGAAAATGGCGAGGGCCCTTACAGTCCGGAGAGTGACGAATATATTACGCCAAATTCCCCTGCCTCAAGAATAATTAACTTTGCATCCATGGTAGAACAGGGAAAGCCATCACCATCAAAGTATGCTTTACCACTAAGTGAAACAAGAAACGCCAGGAATATTACTGCCAAAACTAAAAAGTTCGAAATAGGTAATATTTATTTAAATATATTTAAGTCTTAAGGCATTCTGTAGACTGTTGACATTTATATCAGTTTAGTTTTATAAATCTTGGTAGAAAAATATCTAATTTGTAACTTAATTGTAACAGAATTTCAATATTTCTAACTGATACACTTTTGAACATGTAACTTGAAACCTGTGTACATTACAGGTTCTCCACAAACGTTGGTAGGGGTAGAAAAAACAATAATGCTTGTTGGAGCAACTGGAACTGGGAAGAGCACATTGGTTGACGGCATTGTTAATTATGTTCTTGGTGTGAACTGGAGCGATGCGTTTAGGTTTACTGTGCTAGACCTTGAACAAGATGAGAAAGATAAGCTAAAGAATCAAGTTAGTTTGAATTCTAATTAACAAGTGCTGTAAGGAAATTATCAAATTGTTATATGTTGTTATATAGTTTGAGAAATGAAACAATTAGAGTAAAATAATTGGAAATGAAACAATTAGAGCAAAATATTTGGTATATTTCTACTATAATTAATTGTTTAAAATCGTTACTAGATAAAAGTTACATCGTAAATTGAATATTTCAGGCTATGTCTCAAACAGAGTGGATCACATGTTACTCTATAAATCCCGAGAAAGGGAGCCGACTGTCGTATCGACTGAACATAATTGATACCCCCGGCTTTGGCGATACTCGTGGTGTTGATCGAGACCAGGAAATTGTCGAGCAAATACGTCAACTGTTCTCCGAAACAGGATCAAAAGGGATAACATGTATAGAGCTAGTTTGTTTTCTTATCAAAGCACCAGATGCTAGATTAACTGGAATTCAAAAATATATTTTTCAGTCTATAATGTCTTTATTTGGAAAAGATATTGAACAAAATATTTGCACACTCGTTACTTTTGCTGATGGTATAGATCCACCTGCATTAGCTGCGTTAAAAGTATCGAAACTTCCATTTGGAAAGAGTTTCACCTTTAATAACTCTGGTCTTTTTGCAAATAATGTCTTAAGCAGCTCGACACTTTCACCAATGTTCTGGGAGATGGGTTTGAAAAGTTTTCGAGAATTCTCCTTGCATCTCGACAGAGTGACGACGCGTAGTCTTCAACTAACAAAAAATGTTTTAGACGAGGGAAGTCGCATGGAAGCAACAATTAAAAATCTTCAGCCTCAACTTGATGCAGGATTATCCAAGGTTGACCAGCTCAAACAAGAAATTAAAATATTTGAAAACAACAAAGCCATTTTAAAGGACAATAAAAACTTTGAATACGAAGTTATGGAAATGCAGCACCGTAAGATTGAGCTTCCTCCTGGTAAACATGTGACAAATTGTACTCATTGCAACTTCACCTGTCACCCAAGCTGTTTATACGCAAATGATAGCGACAAAAAGAATTGTTCATCAATGGATAAGAATGGGTATTGCCGTATTTGCCCAGAAAAATGCTTCTGGGAGAAACATGCTAACACGCCATATACATTTGAGTATGAAGAAGTGCTAGTGAAGAAAACATACAAACAAATGCAACAGAAATACAAAGAAGCGTCAGGGAAACTACCCAATCAAGAGCAAATCATATCAAAGATGGGGCTCGAACTGGACGAATTATGCGATGACGTTGAGGATATGATATTAATCTTGAAAGAATGCAGCGAACGCTTGCAAGACATAGCATTACGGCCTAATCCAATGACAGTTACTGAACATTTGGACCAGATGATAGCAAACGAAAAGCTTGAGAAAAAGTCTGGATTTCAGAAACGGATAAATGTACTGCAACAATTCAAGAAAAGAGCTGAAATAGGCTTAGCAGCAGAGACATTTTATCGAGTAGCAAAATCAACGTTAAGCACAGTTAGTAAGGGAAACGTTAAAAGACCACGTACAAAAAATACTAAAACATTAATGACACGAATGAGAAAATGGTTCCCGAACCCGTTTCGTGTTAAAGATTAACAATAATTACTTCATAAATTGGCGGATTTGAATCATACAGATAGAAAAAAAAACATATTTATTTGTAATAGTTCTGTCTCGTGTTCGTGTAATGCTTTAACTATTTCTAATACAAATAAATGTTAACAATGCTGAATACATCGGTTAAGACGTCTTTAAATTCTTTTTCCACTTTATTGAAACATTAGACTACACTTTCTTCTACGACACATTGATGTTTAACCCAATTCAATTGTGATTGACCATCAATTGAGATTGAAATCTCTAGAATAATACATAAATCTGCCTCGACTGTTCCACACTTTTTATAAATAGAACATATCAGGTAAATTTCGATGGACTTATACATAAATTTATACTTAAATTATTAATCATTCATGCAAAGTAAATTACAAAATAAATTGAAAGGATTTATGGCAAAATGTAATTTTTATTTTGACGTTTACCTGCACACTCACTTTTACCTTTGCATGGGCATAATGTCACTTTAAATTATGTTTAGCAAGTGTCAAACAGTAAGATTATCGCAGACAGTGTGCATTATAAACTTTGTATTATGAATGGAAGAGCGGCGAATGACAGTGATTTGGGTAATTTTACTTGCTATACGCATAACGGCGAAAGTGTCATAGACTACGTGGTAACGGCTTATAGCAATTTTCAGTACATTAAAGATTTTACAGTGCATAAATATAATGAATATTCTATTCATTCACCAATAACGTTCAAAATAGACGTTTGTACGCATTGTAGTATAAGTCAAAATTAGACAAGGTCTTTTTATAAATGGAATGATAATGAGAAACATCTCTTCAAAGAGGAACTGGCAAGTGGAATGAACAATTTAATAGATTCTTTAAAAATAGTGATGCACAAGGGAGAGAAGCACTTGGTAGGACTGTTACAATGTTCACAGACTACATTGATTCAAAGGCAAAACCATTGTTTAAGAAATCTATAAAGGTAAAAAACTCAACATTTCTTGACAGTGAAATGACCGAGCGAAAAAAGTGGTTTAATATTGAATGCGAAAATGAACGGAAGCGAAATAATTTCGAAAATTTCAACGCCTTAAAAAAGACTACAAATATTTCGTACGAAAAACAAAATCGTTATATAATATAGACAAAGGGAGACAAATGAATGAAATGCGGCGTAAAAAGCCAAGAGAACTTTGGAAAATCTTTAAGCAGGGCAATAACCCAGTCGATGAGAGTGTTACTTTAGATGACTTTTACAGTCATTTTAAATCTCTGGACGCAAAAGTGGATGATAACGTCGATGTACAAGAGTTTCTAAGCGAATTTGACAATAATTGTGATAACACGGAAGAAGTTACAATTGAGGAATTAGACATGCCAATTACGGAAAATGAATTACGTAAAGTTGTTAACTTTTTAAACAGAAACAAAGCCGCTGGGTTAGACAATATGATAAATTAATATTTTAAAGAGTGTATTGACATCCTTTCCGAACCGTTGTTACTAATATTTAACAAAATTCTTGACGCAGGTGAATTCCCGAGTCAATGGTCAGAGGGATTGATAATACCTATTTTGAAAAAAACAACAATCTAACATTGCAAACAATTATAGGGGAATCACGCTACTAAGTTGCCTGGGTAAAATATTTACAGGAATAATAAATGAGAGAATGAAAGTCTGGACCAAAAATCATGACAAGCTCTCTGATGCACAGTTTGGGTTCAAGTCGGGTCACAGTACTACTGACGCTGTTTTCGTTTTATCTACTATCATACATAAGTATACTTTACAAAATAAAAAGGTGTATGCTGCTTTTGTTGACAGTCAGAAGTGCTTTGACACTATATAGAAACGGGCTCTGGTACAAGCTAATAAAAAAAGGTTTCGACAGATAATTGCTTAAATTGTTACGGTCCATGTATAGTGACGTACGATCTTGTGTTAAACACTTAAATTCCCTATCAAACTTCTTTATAATTGATAATGGACTATTCCAAGGGGAGCAAACTTCGCCATTACTATTCTGCCATTTCTTGAATGACCTTTAAGTATGCCTACAGGAAAATATAGACTGTGGATTAACTTTAGACCAGTTATCTATATACTTAATCCTTTTCGCAGACGACAGTGTATTGCTTAGCAAAACCCCTGAAGCTCTTCAAACCAATCTTAGCCAATTAGAGGCGTATTGTAAAAGATGGCACCTTACAGTTAACGTTGAAAAGTCTAAAATTATGGTAATCCGAAAGGGTGGTCAATTACCACATGTACCAAGAAATCAGGCTTGGACATATACTGGCCAGACCATAGACATTGTTGAAAACTTTAATTACCTAGGCTTTGTAATAATCAGTGGGGGTTCATTTCGAAAAGGCATAGATGCATTAGCAGATAAAGCTCTTAAATCAATGTTTTCTCTTAAAAACATCACTCGAGGGATGCAAATACCACTACGTATAAACTTTAACCTTTTTGATGCTTATGTAACATATATAATGTCATATAGTGCTGAACTGTGGGGATTTAGCCAAGCAGAAAGACTAGAGCGACTTCATAGAAATTATCTTAAATGGACATTGGATGTAAAATGAGTACGGACAGTTATGCACTTTATGGTGAAACGGGACGGTTTCCGTTAATTTTAAACAGAAAAGTAAAATAATGAACTATTTTTTCAAACTATTAAATTCACATGATAAGAATTGTATTTTACATTCTGTTTATAATTTTCTATTTGAGTCACATGATTACAAAACAATTGGTTATCAAATGTCAAGACTATGTTGCAAGAGACGGGGTTTAATGATGTCTGGTGTTTTCCTGCATCTGTTGTTAACATAGACTGCTTTATTACACAGTTTAAGCTTAGGCTTAAAGACATTTATATAGGACAGTGGAGAGAGACAGTTAACATTTCAACGGCATTGACTCTATATAAAGAAATTAAACAAACTTTTGGAATGTCTGAATACTTGACAATACTTAATAATAACAAATTCAGAAATGTCTTGGCTAAATTTAGACTTTCTTTGCACTGTTTAGCCATAGAGCAGGGTCGCCATAGAAACCAGTTAAAAAGTGAAAGAAAGTGTGGTATATGTACCAAAGACGATATTGAAGACGATATTGAAGACGAATTTCATTTTGTGTGTATATGTGAGAAGTATAAGGACTTGAGAAAATTATATATTCCGTTCTATTTCAGAAATCATCTTAACATGTTTAAGTTTATTGAACTATTAGACTGTAATAATCTCAAAATATTATGCAGACTGTCAATATTTATTTCAAAAGCTCTGAAAGTAAGAAACAATCACATTAATCTTGAAGTTTAATAATTTCAAATGTTGACCTGTATGTAATATATATTTGCTAATTTGATTTAGTAGATCAGTATGCTTACTGATTACATTGTATATTATCTTCCTTCTATGCAACTGACATCTTGTTTTGCCATTTTAATAAATATTCTGTTCTGTTCTGTTCTTTAATAGCAATGAAAGACTAAAAGTTTTCAAACTATTTAGGAGTATTTCGATAATAAACTATATTGTAAATTTATTAATAACCTTTTTCATTTTCTATCTTTAAAGGCCATTGGTGAAGGTCATTTAGCCATTTAAATTTAATTTGTCAACGTTTTCGTCTACTCAATAACTACATAGACTGAATAAATAGTTTGAACTTTAAGGATATACTACTGAAAATAAAAAAAAATCTTTTCATGTTTCAAGCTTACATTAGTATATGGAAAATTAAACCCTCAACTTCTATCAAATAACTGAGAAACGCACTACACAAAGTATAAACTTTAAGATATTATTGCTGTTAAGTACTTTTTACTACATTACTTTTATGACACAATTTATTCAAAGTTTATTAGATAAGTGTTCGTATTTAACAGGAGAACCTTGCATTTTCCAGTACACATTTTAATGCCTTCAATTCCAACAAACAAATATCATTTTAAGAGCAAATGTCATCTAGCAATTTGTCATTTCTTATTTCTATACTAGTAAAATCAATTGAATATTTAATTTGGGAATAACAAATTAAATAAGCTTCCGATGTCTTCCTCCACAAGTAAACGCTGAAAAGTCGCCATATCAATTTTACATTGTTGATGTAAAACTTAACATAAAGTCCCTCTTCTTCTCTATCATACTATCGTGATCACTAAGTCTAGACACTTCTAAGCACCCTCTTTCTTTATAAAAAAAAACAACAACAAAAGAACAAAATAAACATTTAATAAGAAGATCTTAAGACACTTAAGTTTTATATATCAATATCTTCATGAATATCTTTTTCTTAGTTTAGTTTTTTTAGTTATGACTGAATTGTTTGTATCTTATAATTGAAAAATAAAAGAAAATAGTACGTAGTTTTTGTTTTACCAGAAGAAGAATAAAAAATACATCGGTTTATGCGCATGTCATTTTCAGAGCGATCAGGGTTGCAATTACGGTGCGGAAAATCTTATAATGATTTATGGGAATATAGAGATAACTGAGATGTGTGAAATTTGCGGCCTATTGCCATAGCGGTTTGAAGTTGGCCGCCTAGCGGCCTAAAATTTTAATGTGGTAGTAAAGTTATAAAAACAAAACAAACAATAAACGGCATTTAATGAAATTCTAAAGACCATTCTTGTTTTCTAAAGTTAATTAAAGGATATATAAAAAGAAAAACACCATTTTCTTTATCTAAACATTTTTATGAAGTTTGCGGCTTAGCCGCTCAGCGGCCTAAAATTTCAAAGTTGTAGAAATGTTATAAAAACAATAACACGGCATTTAATGAAGTTCTAAAGACAATTCTCGGTATTTAAAGGATATACATATAGAAAGAAAAAATCACCTTGAGCATTTTTTTTATCAATCTTGTGAAGTTGTGGCAGCGACAGAGCGGCCTGTCCGCCATCTTCACAAAAATGATAAAATAAAAAAGTACTTTCAAAGTGATTTTTTCTTTTTATAAACCTTTTATATCAATAATTGTCCGAAGAACTTCATAAAGTGTCGTTTTTTTATTTTATAAATGTCTACGAGGTCGCTGATAAACAAAAACTTTCTTAATGTGATTTTTTATTTCTTTTATGTAACATTCAAATGATAAGATATGCCTTTAGAACTTAATTTAGCGACAAACTTCTACGACGCTAGGCCGCCAATTTCACCAAATCAAAAGTTCTCTCAAAGTGATTTTTTCTTTTTATTTACCCTTTATCATGCAACCGTTAATGTTTTATTTTATTAAACTTTAAAAATATCTGGTATCATATTTGCTATTTAATTTGCAATAATTATATCAGAGCACATAAGCCACTGAATTTATTTGGGTCTGAGAATGTCAGTAAGGTGAAGGTCGTGAGATTTTAAACCAATTTGTTTTTGTATAGTGCCAGCAATGCTGTTTCCAGTGTTACAACTGTAGTAAATTGGCTATAAGGCTAATTGCAACATTGATATTCAATTCAATGTTTTTTTTGCTCATAATGAACAATAAAAAAATACTAAAAACAGGAACATAATTCTGTCAAAATGTTTGATATAGTTACCTTCTGTG